TTCCACCTCCTAACATTCTGTGATTCTGTGACACATCAGTTGTATGTACACTGCAGTATAAATTTCTTTATTTCCTGTCAAGGAATTGATTTTGGAAAATAACTCATACTGTGTCCCGTTAACATTAACGAAATTCCAACTGGACATAGATATTGTGTTAGATGGCTTGCTGCCTCTCTGGCCATTTATTATTTTAATGATTTTTCTGTTTCTCCCTTATTGAAGATGACATATTCATTATAGAGGTGATATGGAAAACTGACCTACTTTTATATGGTTTTCTTGTATTTAATTGAAAAGGAGAAAGTACTTCTGGGTGATTTGCACACACAGTTGGCTTTTGTGTCCCTCCTCTCTCTATCAATTTCTTCACAGTCTTTCAAGAAGTAGAGATGGATAGAGAAAATACTGAATAATATTTTGTATAATATATCAAATAGTATTTCTCTGGGACAGCACCACAAGAAAGTGAACAAGATAATTCAGAGCAATAGAAATGTCTTCAAAACTTGGCTTTTGACTTTTCCATTACCTGAAAAAGAAATCCAGATTACAAAGTAGTGATCAATTACATTCCTGGCAGCATTCAAAGCATACATATATTTATTGCTTCTCAAATGAGCTGAAATTAATTAACTGGATGTGCATAAACAAAAATGCTTGCTTACCTTGGCAATATGCATGTGTTTTATCTAATAAAACAAATATCTCACACCTTCTGTATTTTGAGGTATTAGTTTCCATCTGCTAAGTAAAAACTAGAAGATAAGAGATTCCCTCTCTGCCCTGTCATTTCAAGAATAGATGAAAACATATTTGCTTTTTCTCTGTAGCATGTTGATCATTATTCCAGAACCAAATCAATTGCAGAACAAATGGTACTGGCAGCTAATGGAACTCCACTAGCAGGTACTTTTGTCTTAGCATGAGTTCATAGTGGAATTTACTCCTCCTCTTCTTATTCACTCACTAATATCCTGGATCAATCCTTAGTGGACAAGACTGTCCAGCAATTATTAAATCCAGTTATCTACCCACTCTCACAAACAAATATTTTCACTTAAAAATAGCTTTTAATTGTTTTTAGATCCTAGTGTCCTTAAAAGGTTTTAGCATGGGAGCAACAAGTTCAGTATGTTAATTGAATAGATGAAGACAGCTATAAATTAACCAAGTCAAGTCACTGTACTATGCAACATAAGTAAAACATGAACACAGATTAAATTGATTGTTACACACATACACCCCGCCCTGTTATATATTAAAATCTGAAGAAGCCACCTGATACCACAGCCTGGAATTATTTATTAGTGCTTCCCAAAGTTTTCCATGTTGAGGAAGCCAGTTATACACTTGAATACTTAAGCTCACCCATGAGATACTATAACTGCCAGTGCAAAACAAATTAATGTAAAGTGCAACATGATTCTATGCGACCAAGTGATACTGAACTAAATTTAGCTGTAGACAATTTGCAGAAAAGACTCTCTTCACTTGATACTTCCAGAGAGCTATAAAGAGATACACAGCCATTGATGGGCATTCCATCCCAATAGAAGTGTTTTGTTTCAAAAAAGCGTTTTTTCCTTATTTCCTCTTTTCTCAGCAGCTCTTCACATCAAAAACCCTCTTAATTTTAGGAGCAATACACAGTTCTGCATTTCTCAATTAAACTAGAATGTCACTGTTCCAAACATCCCTTTCTGATCCTGTGCATAACAGGACTGAGTATTTTGCATGCTTTCAGGTATTATTAAGAACAGTTATTAGCAGATGATGAACCAGCCAACTGATGTACTTGGGAAATGACGGGATTTTTATGATGGTATTTACTTCCTCCCACTGAAATTATCATGAGCGTCACAGCAGTTCTAGTGGGAGCTGACTGTGCCTACTGTTGAGAGAACCTTTCAGCTCTATCTTGTACTGCTAGCGAATCACTGCTTCCCATCAATAATTTTGTATGAGATCAGTTGGTGTCATTCCACTTTCCTACCAATAACTTGCTTTGTTCAGCAAACTCATCTCCACAGTTGGTACAGTCATTCACTGCTTTGGCACAGAGACAAAGTTTGAAATATCTAGTAATTTCTAGGTAATTTCCAACTAAGCTGGCAGGACTTCTCTGAATCCTATCTTGCTAATTTGCGTGTTCTGATTCTGCCAACTTAATACCATTCCTAATTCATTTCTAAGATGGTGAAGTTAACTATTTCAGAGAAGTTCTGCTACCATAGCCTTTGTTTCATACAAACAAAGATAGAAGGTAGTCATGTGACAGTCACTTAAGAATGGTCTTACCAATTCTTCTAGGAGGTAGAATACTCTATACGTGTGTTCTTCGCCCACCAGGAATCTATGGATCAGAAGAGCAAAGACACTTGCCAAGGCTAGCAGTATGTATTTTATTCTTTTAATCAGCAGAATTTTCTATTCTATACAATGTCATCACTTATTCATGCTATAAATTGTGTGATCTTCTTGGGCAGCAATTCAACTATTCAATTGTCTGTTGAGGATCTTATAACTTTTGTTAACAGGCACTATATTATATCTGTAAAGAATGTAAGTACATTAAGGAAGCCTTTTTTTGAAATATAAACACATGTAAATCCAGCTTTGTAATTTAATGCTTACTAGAATTATAAGATTCAGGCCAATCTATGACATTTCAAATGTCAGTTTGCATGCAACTTACACCAAATGGTTTAAATATTAATGAAAAGAGATACGGCAAAATATCTTATTTCCAGTCTCAACTATTAACAGCTTTCACTAGCCAATGAAACAACTTAAGGAGTCAGAAGCACCTTCTGGTACAATAGGTTACTAAAGGGCAAACGGCTGAGGTGCTAATGTTTTACTCTTTTTTACTTGCTGTCTTTTAAATTGCAGGACTAGTACAGTGTTTAGAATATGATCCCTGTAGAATTATGAGTCAGTTATTTTAAAAGCATCAGCTTTTAAAACAAGATTCAAGCATAACACATAATAAAGATTTTTGTTTTGTGGCTGCAGTAGGGAATTATATTGAAGTCAGGCAAAACATACTTTATCATCTTCTAAATAAAATAATTTTTAAGAACGGCAAATGTAATTTTAGTTAAACCTGAGATATTTTCTTTAGCCCCCCAAAAATAGTCTTTTTTAATTTCCATTTAAGATTTTAAGCTTATTATGAGCCCATTTTAAGTAATTTTACAGTCACATTTTGCAGTTTCTAAAATGTATCTGTTAAATGAAAAATATGACACCTAGCATTACCTTCCAGTTTTTCCCAGCCAAAGCTATTTGTTAAATTTAATCAGTTTTTGTGAATACTTCTGATCCATTCAGAACTGTATCTTACGTTTCCATACAACGTTTTACTTAGAATAGACTTGTATTTTTTGTAAATTCAATATATATTGTGTTCAATAGGTTCTTCAATCCTCATGAACAATATTTGTAGAGCTCTCTGCACTTCTCTTGATTCTTTTTAAATTGTTTCATATATTATTTTTTTAAGTAGAGACAAACCTACATTGAGCTGGACAAGAAAATGCACTGCACCTCATTTTAAAACTCATTTTGCTTTGGTTTCATGTTTGGTTCTGTCTACAGAAGAACATTGAGAGAGGGCTACTCAACTTCAAGTTTGGGGATCCTTCTGCTACAATGAACTGGGTGCATGCAGAAAATCTTGTACAAGCGCAAATTCTTGCTGCTGAAGCTCTCACCCCTGAAAAGAACTATATAGCTGTAAGTAAACAATGAAAGCACCACAATTTTCACTTGCCAGTGGATCTTGCCACTGTATCCTGTACTGCAGTAACTACTGTAGTAGCAGGAGATAATGTTTGTGTTTTGGTCCTTTAGCTTATGCGGTTGTCTGTGTTTTTAGTGGACAAATGTGCTATGAACAGTGTGGGACGTGGCAGCACTGGCTGCGCAGTGTGTTAAGAGTTGGAATATTCAGTTCTGTAAGAATATCTCCATCTTTGCATTTTTGTAATATAATATTTGCCATTTCTGGAATATTAGAAAAGAATGTTTGCTATATCAGAAATGAAATTGGAAGTTTGGGCAAATTTATCCCCTGTTCCCCTGTGTATAGATCCAGGCTTAATGTTCTGAACTGTGATAATCAGCTCTTCCCATATCACACGCAACTAAAACCACATTTGCTTGCTGATTTCAAAAATAGTTGCAACTGTTTTCCTCCTTCTAAACACAGGTTTTTTATTTGACCTAGAAGCATTACCTTTAAAGTATATTAGAAAGATTTTCAAAGTAGATTAAACTTTTTCTAAAACCCTAAAAGCAAAATGGAAAGTGGTAACTTAACGCCTTTGTTACACTGATAGAGTCTTACACATTGCAATGAGTCTTAACTAGACCAAGAGCAGAACACGTCCCAGCATTTGGTGAATGTGTGTTAAGAGCACCAGTCAGATATGGCACCACTTCCAGTGCATGTGGTGATCTCTATAGTCAGTACAGCCACTCTATACAGGCACATCTGTAATAAACGTTTATGTTAATCGCATAAACCACTTGTCCACCAATTTCATTGCACACATTAGTGGAACTGATTGAAACGCATGTAGATAGCTTGTTGGCTTGTATGCACATCCATGCATATTTTATATTGCTGTATTATTTTTAAGCTATTCATAAAAAGTGAGATAAAGAAGTGTGTGTGTATATATATACACATGTATATATGTGCATGCAGTATTGTTTTTACTAACTTGTCTCTTCTCTACCTCTTTATCAGAGTGGCCAGGTGTATTTCATTAATGATGGCGAAAAATTCAACCTTTTTGAATGGTTAACTCCACTTGTATGTACAACATATACTTTATCTCCAAATACATTGTTTTCTTTGTCTGTATACAGCTTTTGTGTGCGTGTTACATTGGGTATGTTTGCTCTGGGTGTAAGAGTTCCGTTCTGAATGTGGGTTTAATTCCTGCTTGAAGTTCAGTGTGATTAGTACTGCAACAAAGCCTACCTAAAATACTACATTAGAGCAACTGTCTTCACTGAGACCAAAGGACCGTCTAAACCTGTATCCTCTTTTGAGTTGCCATTACCTTCATTTCTTGGGCATGCACCTGTTAACGGTGGCTATTTTGGGTGGACAAAAGATATAAAACCTAATTATTGATCTGTAATATGCATTATTTTCAAAAGATCATTTCATTGTTAATGATGGGCTCAAAACCATAAATATGTCACAATGTTACATTAAGTATCAACACATCATGACATTTTGATCATTATAAAGTTTTTGTCCCTTTTTTAAAGACTGCCAGTTGAAAATTAGTGTCTGCATATGACATTTAACTGGAATTTCCTGAAAAATTAAAACTCAAACAGTAACAGCAATGATGAATTTATCTCTTTATCAGTAAATATTTCCACAACTTCCTTCTGTATTGAACTTTAAAACTTATTTAGGTTTCTGGGGTTTTTTTAACTGTTTTTTAAATCTCTTTCAGTTTGAAAGATTAGGTTGCAGTAAACCACGGATACGTGTTCCTACTTCCTTAGTTTATGCATCAGGTAAAAATATTTTACCAACATTTCTCTTTCCTGTCCACTGTACCATCATTCCTAATTGTGATATAATGTTGACGGTTTTTTTAATTTGCCCCCAGTTTTCATTTTCACAAATACAAATAATATGCTGTGGGCTCATCTAGTGTCCAGCAGTCGGGGTGAAGTTCAGCTCTATGCAGTATGTTGAAACCAGAACGATCTCTTAAATAAGTTCCACAAATCCAGGTTTTATGTAGGACTTAACAGATACATAACTCCATGGAATTCATGGTATAAATATAAAAAGTTAAATGTAAAAAGCCATGACTTCATGAAATATGCTGCAGAGTATCTGCTTCACTGCATGGGTACATTTCTTGTTCTGTGCTCCATGAATCTCCAGAATCAATCCCCATGTGCAGTTAAGACAGAATCCAACTTTGAGTATTTTGCTGTTACCACATTTTTTATGAAGTCTCATGATCTTTTCACTAGACCCATCACCAGCCCTCCAAACCCTTTTCACACAATTCTGCCTAATTCAGGCTGACTGAAGTATTAAGATTAAACCCAACCCCTTGTGAGCAAGTAATCCTGTGGGTGTTAGTAATGGTGCCCTGAGCTCTTAGGTATGTGATTATCCTTCACTATCATACACAGGGCAAGGGATGCCAAAATCACAATAGCATAGTGATTTCCTGATGTTACCTCAAGTAGACATCTTTTGTTATGCAGCCACGATAATGGAATACCTTCATCTGATGCTGAAACCGTTTGTTGAACTGACCCCACTGCTGACCAGAAAAGAGGTAAAGTATTTGTAAACTCCCCTTGATTCTCACAGAATGCATACATGCATGTTAACACAGAG